ATGAATTTAAACCCATTTATACGTTTAGGTTATTAAATCACTGCCGGGTTTACGACCAGTACTTCAGTTAAGAAAAGACTTCACAATTGACTCAAACATATCGTCAGCTTCACTGTACGCTTCGGCACAAGGCGTCCATAAAATACAACTAAACGGCAAATACATCGGCGATGATGTCATGAGTCCCGGTTGGACTGACTATAACCAGACCATTCAGTACCAGACATATGATGTCAAGACATTACTTAATAACGCACAAAATGTACTGGATGTCAAACTAGGCACAGGGTGGTTTAGTGCTTATATTGGTGCTTATGGTGCATATAATAACTACGGATCCGATCAATACTTGTTACTTGAATTACACATAACCTATGAAAATAACAAAACTTTTATTATGAAGTCAGATAATACATGGAAAGTGACTACCGGTGCTATAATGTACTCCGATATAATTATGGGAGAACTGTATTATCAAAACAGAGAAATACAAAATACCACTCAATGGACAGCCGTTGTTACCAAACCTATTGACAAGAAAGTGGATCTCATCGCAGACAGGGCTCAACCTATTCGTGTGCTCCAAGAAATGACCCCTAAATCCAAGAGACAAATAAGTCCCGGGGTTTGGATCCTTGATTTTGAACAGGATATGGTTGGATGGGTTGGGATCAAAGTCCCTAAGAATCAGAAGTCATTGAGAATACAGTTAAGACACGCCGAAGCACTCAATCCTAACGGAACTATATATACACTGAACTACCGAACCGCCCGATCCACCGATACTTATGTTATTGAAGGTATGATCACTTTATAATAAAACAGAAGTTATTATATTATAATGTTATCTGTAATTACAGATTCAGGCGTTTCAGGCCTTATGCTTGAGCCCCACTTCACATACCATGGCTTTCGGTACATAGAGGTGACCGGCTTTCCCGGTGAACCCCAGTTGACTGACTTTGTGGGTCGTGTCGCCCATACGGACACTCCTATCACAGGAAAGTTTGAGTCCGACAACAAACTACTGAACCGTTTGTGGCTAAATGTGTTGTGGAGTCAAACGGGAAACATATGGTCCATACCTCACGACTGTCCCCAAAGGGATGAGCGTCTGGGCTGGACGGGTGACTCCGGGATCTTCGTTCAAACGGCCAGTTATAACGCCGATGTTTCGGGTATTTATAGCAAATGGCTCCGAGATCTGAGGGAAGCCCGTCGTAATAGCGGTCACTTTTCAAACGTGGCGCCCAGACTGGTGGCTACGGATGACGGGGCGCCGGCATGGGGTGATGCGGGCATTATAGTGCCCTATCATATATGGCGTATGTTTGGAGACAAACAGATACTGGAAGTCAGTTACGAGTCAATGAAGACATGGATTGGTGTCATTCAGTCCACAAACCCGGACTCCTTGTGGACCAAAAGTGTTTTTGCCAACTTTGGCGACTGGCTTGAGATCAACGCCCAGACACCCAAAGATGTATTTGATACGTGCTATTTTGGTTTCGACGCCCTACTTATGACACAAATAGCCGGTGCTCTCAACCGTACGGATGACATGAAAATGTACACTGAATTGCATACAAATATCTCCAATGCCTTCACAAAAGCATTTGTCAACACAACTGACGGTAAAATCAAAGGCGATACTCAAGCCGTGTATGTATTGGCCCTCACTTTTGAATTACTGCCACAAAATCTGAGACCACTTGCGGTCAACCAATTGGTCGACAATATTAAGGCCCACGACTACCACTACACCACTGGATTCATCAGTAAATTATGACTACTTTTATTTATAAAATATAAAATTAATTTTTAAATGATTATTCCTAAGGTGTCAATTTTGTGAATGAGGTGCTCGTCAAATATGGGCACCGGGATGTGGCGTATAAATGTCTACTCCAGGAGACATTTCCCTCGTGGGGGTATGAAATAGCACATAACGCCACCGGTATGTGGGAGCACTGGGACACCTGGACTGAGGACAAGGGGTTTATGGACCCCGGGATGAACTCATTCAATCACTACAGTCTGGGAACTATCGGCAGATTTATATACCAATACGTGGCCGGTATTGACACCGACGACCAAATGGTGGGCT